AGCATGAGTGGAGGATGGTCAGAGAGAGAGGGAGACACAGAATCCAAAGCAGGCTCCAGTCTCTGAGCTGTCAGCACAGAGCCCAACGCGGGGCTTGAGGTCATGAATCTCGAGATCATGACCTGAGCCAAAGTCGGATGCTTAACCTACTGAGCCATCCTGGCACCCCTGTATGATTTCACTTCTGTGAGGTGTCTAAAGTAGTCAAATTCACAGATAGAAAGCAGAATGATTGTTATCAAGGTCTGGGGAGGAGGGGACAAACAGGAGTTATTTAATGGGTATAGAGTTTCAGTTCTGCAAGATGAAAAAGTTCTGGATATCTGTTTTACAACAATGAATATATTTAACACTACTAAACTGGACACTTAAAAGTAAGACACTAAGTATTACAATATATGTTTTTCCACAATAAACGCTATTAATAAAAAATAAAATAAAAATATATTTTAAAAATCCAAAACTTTTTTTTTTTTCCTGCATAGGAAGGAAGGAAAGAAATGAACGGGTAGTAAACATTTTCCTTCCGTGCAGATGTGTGTATTTCATTTCTGGTGCACTCCACACAGGCAAGTTCCACAGAGAGAGAACAAAGTTTAAACCCTAGACATGAGGACCTGAGCTTTCCAAAATCCAAATCAGACACTAAAGCCCATCAGAAAAGTCTAGGTGCTAGGATGTTTACCTTTAGGTTACCCATTTCCAGAGAAGACTCTTGCTCATGGTACGGCTACTCCCAGAAAATAGCAAGAACAACCAGTCTGTGCAATTTGGATTCCTGACCACAAACAACCGAAATGGACATTAGCAACTTAACAGGAAAAGAATTTATGGCAGTACAGTGGGAAGTTCTAACCCCACATTAAAGCTGGAGAACCAGTTTATAAGAAGAATTTCTATGTCTGGGTAGCCAAGAACACACCCAGGCCACACCCCAGGGTCGGCCCCATTAGCACACTAGCCATGGCTATCCCTGACCCCAAGACCCCTGTCCAACTGATCCTGTGTTTCTACATTATACCCTCAATGTTCAAATTCTGGGGGGGGGAAGAACTGACTGGGCATGCCCACGAGCTTCCATTCAGTGGGGAATTCTTACAACAGACGGATATTCAAGTACTAAAGGGCAGAGAAAAGGAAATTACCTACACTGATTACCAAGTAGCTTAGCAAATGTTTATGTCTCACATGCCTAGCTCACCCAGTTTAAAATACTACAAAGTAGTAAGTTTCCAGCCAATTCCAGGAAATAGGAGAATCTTCATGCTCACTGGATCCTGTCACTTGCAATGCGGCAGGTTTCCACGAGTTATCCAACCAGATCAGACCACTCATAAACTATCACTGGGTAAAGCAAGGTGCACAGGGGCGGGTAGGATGAATGTGACCATGGTTAGTTGCTCTCTAATGCTTTTGCTTTTGTCAAAGTCGAATTTACTTGACCGTGATAAGAGCAGACACTGTCTTCAAAACTCCTGCTAGAACAGACTATAAAGACAGAGCGTGGACTGGTGTTGCTGTCACTGTCACCATAGGACTAACATTGCTCAAGCAGAGAAGATGCCATTTATCCAGCACAGTTTAATCAATGTGTAAGCCTCTAGTCGGCTCCCAGACAGTCTATCTGAAAAAATTTCCATAGACTCTGTAGAGCAAAGATACACAGAGATTTAGAAAGTCGTAGAGAAGTGAAAGCAAGGTTAAACAATTAACTTTACTTCACACTACAGTCTTTTATTCATTCATACATTCCTCTATCCAAAGGGCTCTCAAGACTTCTACTTTCACAATGATAGAGCAAAGATGTCTCTTCCTTTATCTTGAAAAATCAACAAGAGTTTTTTTAAAAACCAGAAACACAATTTTTAAAAAATAAAACAGGAGACATCTTATAGCTCTGAACCACAACATACACAGGAAGTGGGGAGAGAGACAGTGAGGGGCATCAGAGAGCAGAAGATGGGTCAAACCTCAGTGTTTGCAAAGCAGCATCAACAAGACACAAGCTGCAGGGCCCCAAAGACATCAAGGAGCTGGAGGCATCAGCTACTGTGAGGGTGGGGTGAGTGGGCAAAGATAAGAAAACAGGGAGATGGTTTGAAAGTCTACATAAGCAGCAGTTAGATCCCAGGGTGCCTCACTCTCCCCCAAAGGAGCTAGAAGGTACACCCTTAATAAACATGGCTTCCGGAAGCAACAAACTTAGAAACACCAGAATGGAAGACAGTGGGGTTTCAACAGGGATATGAAGAGAAACTGTGCATGGCAGAGAGGGAGAGCCTCCAGTGTCTCACCTACAGGTCAAGAACTCCAGTAGCTAGGCTGATATCCCCAAAGCAAGAGACTGAAGGGCCATTCTCTGGAAAAGCTAATCTATCATCTGAGAAAAGACCCACAGATTTTATTATCAGTATCTGCAATGAGAATGCTAAAGGCTACCCAGTCATCCCTACAGGGAAGTGGGGGAAGGGAGAAACAAGCCCACATGGGTATATAAGGACACCTGCAGCTTCTAACTAGCTTTCTAGTGCCTCACCTCTTAAACAAAAGACCAAGATCACCAGAGATCTGAGGAAAGCCTACCACACTTGAGAGAAAAGACCAAAATAAAGTGAAAACAAGGGAATTAGTAGGACAGGGACAGTACTGGTAAGAGAAGACCGCAAAGAAATCATATTTAATATCTCACTGAGCTAAGATCTGGTATTCATCTCATAAAGGTGCATTATTAAAAAGAGAAAACCAGAATGTAAGGAAGGGAAAAAAAAAGATGACATAAAAATTCAATGAAAACATTCAGAGGTAAGCTAAAGAAATCTCCCAGAAGTAGAAACAAAGAGGACAATAAAAAATATATATATATTAGAAATTCACTGTAAGAAGTCCACTATTTAAATTAATGTGTATTCCAGATAAAGAGAACAAGGAGAAAAAGCAGGGGAAATTTTTTCAAAAAAAATGCTACAAAAACATTTAATAATCATGTAGTTCTTGGAGAAGGACCTACTGAGCACTCAGCGCTGTGAATGAAAAATAGATAATAAAATTTTAGGATACCCATATGATAAGAGATTAAAAATCTGCATAGAAGAAACTGGCAAAAACATACAAATGATCAAGAAAAATGTCACCAGACTTCTCAACTGCAGCACTAGAAACCAGATGATAATGATGCAAAACCACCAAATTCTTTCCAACCTAAAATTCTGTAATGAGCCAAATTACCACTCACCTACAAGACCACAATAAAGGAATTCTCACACCTGCGAAGGCTGAGGAAAATAAAGCTGTGAGATTTTTGTTTTAAGCCTTCTAGCCCTATTTGACTCACAGTTCTGCGTTGTTCTGAACTGTACAGTTCACACACATTCTCAACTATGCCTCATTTTGGTTTGCAGGTACAAGAGTACATTTTCTGGGCCTTGTAATCATGAATGGGATACACCCTCAGTTACCACATACTTCCCCTAATAAAATATGAGATCACAATACTAAAAAAATTCGATAAAAATAGTAATCTTTATTCTTATATAATGTACTTAAAAAGTATTTTATAGCCACAAATATCATGTGAAGTAAAATAGATATTATCATCCTTTGCTTCAAGATGAGAAAACTGAGGGACTCCTGGGTGGCTCAATCATTGAGCATCCAACTCTTAATTTTGGCTCAGGTCATGATCTCACGGTTCGTGGGATCAAGCCCCACGTCAGCCTCTGCGCTGACAGCATGGATTCTCTCTCTCCCTCTTTCTCTGCCCCCTCACCTACTCAGTCTCTCTCTCTCAAATTAAAATTTCAAAAAAAAAAAAAAAAAAGATGAGAAAATTGATTCTTTAAGAGAAAAATGACTTTTCAAAGGTGTCAAAGCCAACATAAAGCACTAGAACTCAAATCTAAGTCTAGTGCCATGTTTGGGATTCTCCTCTGACATGAATGTAGGAACTCTGTGCACAATCTTTATCTCCTTCTCTCTTATGTACATGGGAATGGTTTCATCTCAAGGTATGATAAGCACGATTGTCCCTTTTCTCCACTCTTCTACAACCCAGCTATTTATTTCACCGTAAGCACCTCAGCACTGTTGGCCCTTCCCCTTCTCCAAGCCATCCTTAAAGAACTGGAGTACAGGTCCCAAAGTAAATACTTACGTATATACTGAGAGTATAACAAAAGGTAAACCTTAACTACTCATTAGAAAGAAATTTCTCAACTTTTTTTCTTAACCCAGTGAGAAGGAAAAGAGATAATCAGACAAAAGTGACTTAATCTTCTCATATGCTACATACAGGAAAAAGGCACCTAATAATGTATTTTTGATGTCCATAATGATCCATCTGGCTCATTATCATAAAAAAAAAAAAGAAACTCTGGTTTATAATCAGTTATTAACAGTTTTTTATACCATAGAGGGATAAAGATTCAAGGATAATTATCCCGTCCACTCTGCTCCCAAAGTGTATTAATCAAGAAATATGCTTCGAGGGGCACCTGGGTGGCTCAGTCAGTTAAGCGTGCGACTCTTGATTTTGGCTCAAGTCATGATCTCACAGTTCATGAGTTCGAGCCCTGCATATGGCTCTGCACTGACAGTGCGAAGCCTGCTTGGGATCCTCTCTCTCCCTCTCTCTTTGCCCCTTCCCTGCCACTCTGTCTCTCTCTTTCAAAAATAAACCTAAAAAATCTACATGCTTTAAAATTGAGAGCACAATAAACACACACACACACACACACACACACACACACACACACACCCCTTCCCTTCTCACCACTTTACCACTTTCCCCAAACAGACAGGAACACTAAGACATGTATGTATTCACATTCACACACAGTCTGCAACCTGCAACCTTGGACTCATATACCCTTCTATTAGACTGTGGGCCTGAATGGCCCAGGGTGAAGAAGGCACAGTCCTCACTGAGAAAACCCAACTTCACTCTGGTTAACTGTGTTTTCAATCAAGCAAAGAAATAGTGTGGTAACAATCCAGCTACTTACTCCACAGTATCGGTCACCATTAAATATCTGAGGTGGCAGAGGATTGCCCTGAGCAGGCTTCTTTTCTGGGGGGATGTTTTTGTACATCCATTGTCTTTGTTCTTCTGACATTGTGATATCCACCTCCTCAAATTCTATCTTGTTGGCTTCCAGAAATCTAACCACATCCTGCTGTTTCTTCTTTATCTAAAGAGAGAAGACAGACAAATGAGAAATGCTTATCTGAAACAATATGCAGATATTTCCAAATTGAACTAGACTTGATTTCTCATGGTCAGAGGTCACCAATGCAAAACCAAGAGGCAATTTTCACAGGCACCAGGCACCGTCCACTCACTGGGTATCCAGCAGAAGTCTAGACAAGTCCTGACACGATGATTTCTTCACCTAGACTCCCCAGAACACTGGGGCACAGCCCTGATCACCTGGAAGGATCAGATTATGCATGAGGTGAGGGACTTCGTTCTCAGAGGGACACAACCACTGCCCCTCCCAGTTACAGAAGCTGACATTTACAGTCATGAAAACTCCCTCTGCAGAAACCATTTGAAAACCAGGGAGAGCCCATATGAGATGTCGACATTTCACTGATTCCCGGGAACAGCAACATTTCTATTCCCCTCAGCAGTCTCTTTCAGGTATTCCACAGCGGTAGCCACTGTCATGAAAGCATCCTTTCATCAATTCAAAAGAGAAAAATGTTCTCCACTTCTAAGGTGAGAGTAAACAACAAGCATCAGCTGACTTTGAACTCTGTATTCCTTAACTCTCTTTGTTCCTCTCACCTTCATGTTTCCTTCTTCAGTCACTAGGGGTCAGGTGTGCTCCTGAAGAGCTGCAAACACATCTGTAGGTTTTCAAAATCTTATCGGTTTTATTTCAGGGTACATATTAAATAATTCAGATGGGGCAACAATATTCAATATCTTAAACACAGCATGTAAAACAGGAGACTACACGCCTGCTTTTTCTAAATGATTCTAGGAAATGTACACAGAGACTTAACACAACCTAAGTGATGAAGTAAATTTTATAAGGGCCAAAGAAAAGAATCATTTTGAGAGGGCAAGCCGCCAGAAAGACGGTGCGAAAGCATTTCATCTAGAAAATGAAATGCTTGAAGAACAAACTTTCACATACTGATTGCCTCCACCAACTTCCTCCAACTTCCTCTCAAAAGCCTCAATGACATGTGCTTCTGAGATGGAAATTTGTTGTAGGTCATGAGCAAAGAGATTCTGATCACTGGGTTGAAGTCTATGAATGAGTAACAAGATTGTACAGTTAGCATGGACAGAAATACAAAGCTAGCAAAATAGAGTATCTTTACCCTCGATGATATGAGAAAACAAGAGACCTAGTGTATGGTTATAAATCAAAATGGATACATTATCTTGTTTCTTGAACCAAGCTATTTCTCATTTCTGAAAAAGTTAACTTTTTTCCCCTGATACACAATTTTCAGAAATGTAGTTATGTTATTTCGAAACTTTGGCTTGCAGAAAAAGTATTATCCATACTACTTAGTTTCCCCTTACAACCCTACAAGGCAGATAAACAAGGTTGATGCTGAGGTCAAAACTGGTCACCTATTTTGATGGAGGTCTTAGTACGTATTCTTGTCAAGATAATCATGTCATTCTCCTATTTAAAATCCTTCCTTAATGAGTCCCCATTGCCCTTGGAAGAATACATACATTTCTTAGCATAGCACAATGTCCTTCATGATCCACCTCCTTTGATTATAAGAGCAAATTTGCATTTTTAAAAGTCTAGAAATTGTAAACCAAGCAAACTGTCAACATTTAATTAGAGGAAAGGGTCAAAAATTAATTAGAGGAACGGGTTTGGATTTAATGTTCATAGGTAGAGCTTTACATATCCAACATATTTCAAATGTTCATGAGTGATCAAAAGTGAACCTGACACAGTCAAACCTTAGTTTTCCATATGATGTATGTGCACATAATATCCACCCCACCTCCACGTCTACCTCGAAAGGTGAATACCCTAAAACTCACATACTCTTAATACTAGGCTATATCAAAGACACACAGTTTCTCTACATCCCAGACCCCTAGCCCTACACACACACACACACACACACACACACACACACACACACACAGCATTTATTGCTTAACTATAATCCCCTACTGCTCACTGGTCATTCCTTTCATACGATCACACTCGATAAAAAGAGCTGGGTCTTGCCCCTTTCATTCAAGAATGTACCCTGTGTACTGTCGTGTCATTACAGATTTTTCAAGGGCACTTAGGTGGCTCAGTCAGTTAAGCCTCCAACTCTTGATTTCAGCTCATGTCATGTCTCACGGTTCCTGGGATTGAGCCCCTGAGCACACTCTCTCTCCCTCTTTCTACCCCTCCCCAGCTCACATACACACTCACTCTCTGTCAAAATGAACATTGTTTTTTTTCAAAAGCATGAATTTTTATATCTGCCTAGCAACCTATCATGTAGATGTTTTCAGTCAACTACTATTCAATTATTGGTATTTAGCATATTTGTAACTTTCAGCACCAGAAATATCATGTAGTGAACATCTTTACTTAAAAATCTTTGACAGTATCTCTCAATACTATTTTAGGACAAAACCCTATGAATGAAACTCAGATCAAAGGGCAGAGATGTTTTTCAGGCTCCTGGTGGACCCATGCTAACCTGCTTTTCAACAAGTCCTTGTCAATATGTTCCCATTAGCAATGTATGAAAGTGTCCATGTCTCAACACCCCTCCCTCCTTACAGCCAATATCTGAAAGATGTATCACAGAATATTAAAATCCAAACAATGGGAGGTGATGGATGTGTTAATTAAACTAACTGTGGTAATCATTTCACAATGTATACAAATATCGAATCATTATGTTATATACCTTATACTTATAGAGTATTATATGTCAATTATATCTCCAAAAAATTGAGGTGGCGGAAAACAAATTGGTTGCTGTTAAAAAAAAAAAAATTCAAGGGGCTCCTGTGCGGCTCAGTCAGTGGAGCATCGTCGTGCTCTTGATTTCAGCTGAGGGCAGGATCACAGGGTCACGGGATTGAGCCCCATGTCGGGCTCTGCACTGCACATGGAGCCTCCTTAGGATTCTCTCTCTCTCTCTGTCTCTGTCTCTCTCTCTCTCTTTCTGCCCCTCCCTGACTCATACATGGGCTCCTGCACTCTCTCTAAAGTAAAAAAAAAAAAAAAAAAAAAAAATGCATCATTACACACTAACACTGCTCAAGAAGCAAAGGACAGTTACTAACAAAGGTGAGAATTGACAGCAGCATATGGAGTAAAATGTAAATAATTGTATCTCTGTTTTAAAAGAGGAAAGCAGGGGAGGCACCACCACCAGGTTTGGGCTTCAAAGAGATCTCTTTAATACTGTGCAACTTAAAAAGAAAAAAGGAGGAGTTCTGTACATACTCTTAACACTGCTATGAAAAGATCTCCAAGACAGATTAGTAAGTGAAAACACAAGGAACAGAACTGTGCATAGACTAGGAACATTTTTTAAAAATAGAGAAAATAAAAGAACACATTTGTACTTAACGTTAAAATAAGCTCTGGAAGGTTATATAAAAAACCAACAGAAATAGTTGTCTGGGAGCTAGGAAAGTAGGGACTGGGGGGGACGGAGGAAAAATGGGAGCAAAAGTCTTAGCTCTCTACGTGTGTAAACTAAACTTTTTTGCACAGTGTGAATATGTTAGTATCCAAAAGATTAAATACAAGAAAATTATGTAGAGAAAGAGAGCTTCACATAGAAGGGAACAGGAGTATGTAGCCATAGAGATGTAGTATTTTATATAAATTGGGTTTTCCAACAGGAGATGGAAGCCCCACAACTCAGAGCACGTTGTTACTCGTGGGCCTTCATGTTTACTCACACTTCTTCTAAGAAAGGCCAGATGATGAAAAATCATTTTTTTTTTTAAAAAGAGCTAAGGCCACACCACAGAAAACTAACCAATACTACAGCAAATCACTCAAATAAACAAAGGACAAAATTTAACCCAGGGAAGGAAGTTTTCAAGTGGATATCTGTGGCATTAGCATGAGGAAGGAAGAAGAGTCATGAACAGATACCACGAGCTATTTTGAGATCTGCAGAGGCGAACGTGGCCTGGAACTGTGGGAGCCCAGGCGTCCGTGGCAGGGGGACAGGCCACCTCAGGTGGCAGGGACTTGGGTGAAGAGATGGGGCTGCTGGGTGGGACCCCAGGTAATAGGCTTCCCATGTGGCAACAGGAAGCTGCCAGGGATGCTGCATGTGCTGGCATAAACCCAGAGTTCAAGTAGCAATAACATATACCATCATTTCCTTGACTCCAAGGGCTTTTCCTCCCCACATTTCAAGTATCCTGAAACAAAGTGTACCTTAAATCAATATCAAAAGCCATCTGAGGAGCAAATGGGAAAGAAGTTAATTGTGGGGCAACAGTAGCTGCCTTCACCCATGTCAACTTAGCTATGAGTGCAAGGTACCTATAACTCAGGGGGTGTTTGTTGTTGTTTCTTTCTTTTTCTTTTTTTTTTTTTAACACACTTAGAAGCCATGGAAGATAATGCTAGGTTTTTACCCAGTAGCCAATTTCCCTTTCTTTCTTTTTTTTTTTTTAACGTTTTTATTTATTTTTTGAGAGACAGAGACAGAGCACGAGTGTGGGAGGGGCAAGGAAAGAGGGAGACACAGAATCTGAAGCAGGCTCCAGGCCCTGAGCTGTCGGCACAGAGCCCAACGCGGGGCTCGAACCCACAAACTGTGAGATCGTGACCTGAGCAGAAGTAGGCGCTTAACCAACTGAGCCACCCAGGCGCCCCAATCTCCCTTTCGTTCTTAATAATAGAAGGCTGGTATTGTTTAGGAAAGCAATGTGCTCTGCTACAAAAACTTGTTTTACCCAGACTCCTCTGCAGCCAGGGGTCATGACACAGAATGAGACAGAAGGCAGATGTTCTTGGGAAGGCTCTACTTGATGAATAAAACCACAAAGCCCAATTTGTCCTCTCTCCTCTTGCAGAAATGCAGAAGTAGTGCCTGGAGGTGCAGAAACCATTGTACAAATGTGAAAACAAACGCCATATGCTAAGGATGGTCAAGCAGAAAGACAGGAGCTTGGGTCCTTGATATTTTATAGCTGCCACACCAGTCTTGCGCAGCCCACTCTAAATCTTTCTGTATTAGACAAATAAACATTTAATTGCTTAAGCCACTCGATCAAAGTTTTTCTATAGCCTGCACTCAAACACAATGCTACCTGAAGAAATTCTTAACTGCTACTTAAAATGTCTTCAGAAATACTATAGTATGATGGATTGAAAATAAAAGCTATTACTGCCTAGCAGAGCCTAGAAATAAATGCTGTAAGACATAAATTTAAGTGAAATGAATATTTGTCACTGAATAAACATGAATTTTCATTATTTTCTTCATAAAACAACCACAGGAAAAAAAAGAAAAAAGAAAAGAAGTCGTTGGACCCAAAACAGGAAGATATCTACAAAAGCATTAGAGTTAGATTTTATTATGTTATTCACACACACACACACCATTACACATCATCCAAAGCAACTAAAGGGAACAAGTGCTTCAAAATCTCTTAGGCTAGATCATGGGAAGGCAAACTATGGCCCACGGGCTAAATCTAGCTCACAACAGGTTTTGTATGGACCATGGCCCCAAATGGGATACTTTTAAATGTGGCTGAAAAGAAAATAAAAATAATAGTATCACATGACATGTAAAAAATACATTAAATGCAAATTTCAGTGTCCATAGATAAAGCTGTATCGGAAGATAGCCACACCCACTCATTTCCATACTAACTGTGGCTGCTTTGGCCCTGACAATGACAGGGTTGAGTGCTGCAACAGAGGCCTCATGGTTCCCGAAGCCTAAAGAAAAAGTCTGTCCTTTACAAAGTGTGCCAACCCTGGGCTAGACCACAGATCTCCATTTCCGGCTCAAAGTTCAATTCCTTAGTGAGGCCTTCCCCAACAACCAGATTTTACATTTTTACCAGTGGCACTCCATACACACACCCCCTCTCCAACTCCCTACTTCCCTTCAAGGCTTCATTTTTCACCATAGCACTTAGTATCTGATATACTAGTGGTGTTTTCAGTGTTTTCTTTCTTTTCAGTATTTCCTTCTCTACCTGCCCTAATAGAATATAAATTCCATAGGGTGAGGGATGTTGTCTGCTGTTTTGTTCATTGCTGTACCTCCAGGGCCTAGGATGGTGTCTAGCATATAGCAAACACTCACCAAACAGTTGTTAATACACAGGAACTTCACACATGGAAGGGCTGGCGTGACAGGAAGGCTTCATCCTGACTCAGCAATGTTGGTTCTCTCATCGTTTACCTTACATATCACCTCCTTGGAGAGTCCTCTCCAACCACCTTAGCTGAAGTTTTATTGTCTAAATCTATTACAATTTTATTTACTTATCTGTGTACTTGATTTTATGCTCATCTCTCTCCCCACAATGTCACTTCTGTAAGCAAGAGACTGGCAACGCAAGAGGCGTTCAGTAAATATTAACTGAATGGATGATTAAAGAATTATCACCCCAGCCCTGACATCAAAGATTTCCAGGTGATGTTCAAGAGATCAAACTGAGTTGGTAATTTAATTTAGGAACAAATGTAACTGAAGTTTAGCCAAAAAGGAATGTAGATCAAATGCCAGTGTTTCTCAATTAATGCTAAAACTGTATGATTTTAAAAAGCAGTGTCTCTAGGACGCTACATGTAACTGTAAATTGCCTAAATAATTCAGAACAATCTGTAGACCCTGAATGTGAAAAAAGCTTTCCTTTAACATTGACAATGATACTGAAGAAGAAAGCTGCATGTGACTATACGTTTAAATAAATGCTGTTGTCAGTTCATTTCAAAAATTGCAAGTGCATAATGTAGTGTTTTGTTTGGCCCAAATGTTTTAATTAAACTGCTGATATATTTGCAAATTGACGGCAATTGCGAACTAAGCAAATAGGTCAGTGTTTCCCTGACTCTGCTTCCAACTGCCACGATAGGATTCTATCACCCCCACCCACTTCCCCCAGTATCTCCAGCAGCTCTGAAGCAAGCTTTGAGGCAGCCATCTTGGTCCAGCTGCTTCAATAAATGGTCTGAATGTGTTCCCCTCAAAATTTATATGTTGAAACCTGACCTCCAAGATGATAGTATTACAAGGTGGGGGCTATGGAAGGTGATTAGTTTACTAGGACAGGACCGTCATGAATGGGGTTAGTGTCCTTATAAAAGAGACCCAAGAACATCCCTGCCACTTTCTGCCATTGAGGACACAGCAAGGAATCCGCAGTCTGCAACCAGAAGAGGGCTTTCACCAGAACCCAACTGTGCTGGCAACCTGATCTTGGACTTCCAGCCTTCAGAACTGTAAGAAACAAATTTATGTTGCTTGTAAGCTACCCAATCAATTTTGTTACAGCAGCCCAAACAAAGACAATGAACCTTTACCCTTTCCACTCCAAATCCTGCGCCTGCTGAGGACCCCAAAGCCTGCACCCACGCCTTGGTAACCTACCCCCACAGGCGCCTGGGTGATAAACTGTCTGGGCTAGTGCTGCTGAATTGGCTGACCTGGCATGAACACTCAGTGACCCATGAAAATCTTAGTGAAGATGTTTGTAGCTCTTTCACTGGCAACCTCCTGGCTCCAGGAATCCCTAGGGACTGGATCTGCAGCCAGGCTAAGTAAATTACATTGTACTTCAGTTACATTTACCCCTACTCTGTGGCACTTTTAAGTAAACTTGCAACTCCTTCACTCTCTCTTCTTGTCGGATTAGTTCTTTCCCAGACGGCTGACAATTTATGTAATTAAGTAGCCCTTCCAGAAGAATCCTTCCATATGCTTCTAGGCATGCCTGGTCATGTTTGAATTCTGGGGTATACAAAGCTGTTGCTGCACCTTGGGACCTTGAGAGTCACTAGCAAATAACGAGAAATAATCAATTTGAATAAGATAGTTGTTTTTTTAATTGAGATTTAATGTGCACAATTGTGGGAAATCAAGTTTAAAGACAACTAATTGTGGGAAATCAAGTTTAAAGACAACTGAAGTACAGGCGGATGACAGCAAGGAAAACTGGGGGCGAGAGGGGAGTGTGTATTTTTGAGTTAGACTGTCTGGGTTTTAATCCTGGCCCTATCTGTTGGGTAGCCTTGGAGAAATTACAAAGCTTCTCTCAGCATTAGTTGCCAAATCTGTGAAATGGACCCGGTATCTTTTTGCATAGGTTCATTGGGAGGATCAGATACAAAAAGAGCTAAGCAATCGCAGGCACTTGCTCAATTGTTCCATTCATTCAAACACACGAGCTTTTCTTTCGTGGCCCTAGATGGGGCCCTCTGCCAAAAACATGAAATGACTTCTGGGTACTTTCAAAGGTTTTAGGTATTCAATGTAACAGTTCTTTATTTCACTTACTTTCACACTTCAAATACACATTTTTCTTTTTTCTGACTTACAGCAGATGTAGGACTCATTAGGACCTTTTATGTATCTCACATGGAAAAAGTCGAAGGCAGAGGAAGAAAACCAAAAAGTAAAAATTTTCTTAGAACAACACAACTTACAATGGAGAGACTGGACTAAGGGGAAGTAGAGGGAGGGCTCTAAGACAACCCCTTTCCACTACGGAGGGAGAAAAGGACTGATGGCCTTTCCCTTGTAAGAAGACCCTTGCTACTTCTAGCAATTAAGCAGAGTATCTCAAAGATACATAATTTCATGGCAAATTCTTTAACAGTTCACTGTTGGACTCACTAGGCATTCTACTGTCATAAAGAGGATGCAAATGGCAGAAAGTATTATGGCAGACACTGGACCAGTTACCCCTTTTCTGTGAAGGCCAAAGTTCCAGAGGGAGACACAGAATCTGAAACAGGCTCCAAGCTCTTGAGCTGTCAGCACAGAGCCCGACACGGGGCTCGAACTCACGGACCGCGAGATCATGACCTGAGCCGAAGTTGGACGCTCAACCGACTGAGCCACCCAGGCGCCCCCCAGCCACTCTTGTAGCTGGGCAGCTCTGTGACCCAGATCTAGCCCCTGAGGTGTGAGCCAAAGTCTGCTGGGTAAAGCTTCTGGTCAAGGCTTTGCTCTCCTGCTCAAGCATATGGATTCAGGTGTTAGGCCCTTTGTCCCTGCCCTTCCACCTCCTTTCTGCTTGGAACCTCAGTGTGAGGGCTAGAGACATGCTGGCAGCTTTTCCGCCATGAGCCAGTAAGCACAGGAAAAGGCCAAGAGAATGCTAGAAACACAAGCCCTGAACAAATCAGCCTCCAGAATTACAAAGAGAGAAAACTTCCGTTCTTTTGAGATCTCATTGGCCATGTTCTCCCTTACCTGCAGGTGAACACATTCCTAACGAGAACGCTCACCGCTAAGGTTTCATTGTTGGGGAGTAGGGCAGGGTGTAGAATAAACCCCAATAAGCCATCTGCTAACCGTCAACATTCTAACACTGTTTAACTAAATAGGAAGTTACACATAAAGTACTGTGTGTCTGGTGTCTATTGCAGTTTATCTTACTAGAAAGCAAATACCAGGTTACCAAGCCAAAGATAGCAGTGCGAGAGGCTGTCTAGCAAGAGATTGAAACCGGAGTTTTAAGGAATCAGAGTGTCAGAAAGAGATGGATTATGCAACACAGGACAATTTTTGAAACAACCAGTACTATATGTTGTATTTTAAGGCAATAAAATTTTAATGATGGAAAAACTTGTGCTTTTTCACCTATGTACCATTAGCACAATCCATGCTACTCAACAGGCACTCAGTGTGTTTATATTAAACACAGAAACATTACTGAGTTTGAATAAATACCTTTAACATATTTGCTTTTGAATCAGTCAACATTTTCCGTGCTGTTTTCTTAACCAATTTGCATTAGTTTCTTTTTCCTGTTTTTGTAAGTCATCTTTGCAATGTAAGTATTTTTTTATTAAAAAAAAAAAACCCACCATAATCTCATCATCCTGAATTATTTCTTTTTTTTTTTTTTTAATTTTTTGTTTTTCAACGTTTTTTTATTTATTTTTGGGACAGAGACAGAGCATGAACGGGGGAGGGGCAGAGAGAGAGGGAGACACAGAATCGGAAACAGGCTCCAGGCTCTGAGCCATCAGCCCAGAGCCCGACGCGGGGCTCGAACTCCCGGACCGCGAGATCGTGACCTGGTTGAAGTCGGACGCTTAACCGACTGCGCCACCCAGGCGCCCCCTGAATTATTTCTTATAGTACCTTCCAAGGACACAACATTTAGAAATATACTTCATAGGGGCGCCTGGGTGGCTCAGTCGGTTGAGCGTCCAACTTCGGCTCAGGTCGTGATCTCACAGCTCATGAGTTCGAGCCCCATGTGGGGCCCTGTGCTGACAGCTCAGAGCCTGGAGCCTGCTTCGGATTCTGTGTCTCCCTCTCTCTCTGCCCCTCCTCCACTCATGCTCTCTTTCTCTCTCAAAACTAAACATTAAAAAAAAAAAAGAAATATACTTTATATAGTTGCCATAATAACATACACATTTGCGGTAGGATGTTTCAGTTTTATTACAAATATTTTGTTTTTATAATCTCCATAGTTATCTTATTGCGTGCATACATTCTATTAAGTACTTTAATGTTTAGAACATTATCCTACCATTGGAAATTTAAGTGTGTTCCAAGGATTTTTTTTTTAATTAAAGAAGAAAACTGGGGGCACCTGGGTGACTCTGTCGGTTACACATCTGACTCTTAGTTTCAGATCAGGTCACAATCTCATGGTTCATGGGTTCAAGCCCTGCATCAGCACAGAGCCTGCTGGGGATCCTCTCTCCCTCTCTCTTTCTGCCCCTCCCCTGTTTGTGCCCTCTCTCTCTCTCTCTCTCTCAAAATAAATAAATAAACTTAAAAAAAATTAACAACTTTTGCATGGCCAATGAATGGAATCAGAAAAATGATTACCGCTGTTCTTTAATTATAATGGTGCTCGTTCTCCATCTGCATCTATGTATTTTTGGGTAGTTACCTTTTCAACAATGACAACTGTTACAGCAGACCTGCAAATTGTAGTATTGATTGTTAGCTCACATTGTTCTCAGTATGAAAAACTGTTTCTGATGGGAGAAAAATAATTTTTTATCATTAAAAAATAAAATTAATAATATTGCTTGAACTGTGCCCATGACATTTATTGCTATTTTGTGGACATTTTATGATTTACATCTTTTATTGGCATAGGAGCATATACACAGCATGCATTTAAAATACACACACATGGGGATATGTACTCAAAGAATTTTTAAATTTTTTTTAATGTTTACTTTTGAGAGGGAGAGAGCAAGAGCGAGCAAGCACAAGTGGGGGAGGGACAGAGAAACACACAGATTCCGAAGCAGGCTCCAGGCTCTGAGCTGTCAGCACACAGCCCAACGTGGGTCTTGAACTCACGAACCCTAAGATCGTGACCTGAGCCAAAGTCAGACATTCAACTGACTGAGCCACGTAGGCGCCCCTCAAAGAATTTTTAAGTTATTATTGGGGTATGTGATCAAAAACCTTTACGGACTACTTCACTTAAAAAAAAACCGTTGGCGGGGGAGGCGCCTGGGTGGCTCAGTCGGTTAAGCGTCTGACTCTTGAAAGTTACCAGACTGATAAAGAAATTGTAAAAATCTAACCTGAGCTTCACTGTAAATATGGCAGCACACTGTACTGCTAATATATTTTCTATGGGTTAACATAAATAAGACATGGTGCTAAATCTAGACTCAGAATAAGACAGGAATATAAGCATCTACAATTGAATCAGGCGAGGGAGAGAAATCTTAACATCTGGGCAATATCCTTTATAATCTGTTTTTTCTTCATACTAGTCCTTTTGCCCTTGAAGACATCACATACTTCCATGACTTCAAATCTCACCTGTAAGACTTAGAAATATATATCTAAACTATATCTAAAACTTGCATTTCAAAATTGGCATCTTTCACAAGGGTCAATCCCCCAGTTCCAGAGCCTTTCTGGAAATGTATGCTTAAATGTCCCACCATCACCTCAAACTTGATGGCGAAAACAGAACAAAAACAATGTTGTCACAAAGTCAATCCACCCTTTTCCCTGAACTTTCCTGTTTCTATCAACAAAACAACACTTTGTTGATGACTCATTCTGACAGGAGAACTGCCTATACAAGTCCACAACTTAACGTCATTACAAAAATAACCTACCTAAATGAAAACCACACACTCTGTTATTAGACGAGATGAAGGGAGCCTCTCTTGTGCTCAGTTGGGTAGCACTAAAAATGGGACAGTGTAAAGAATAAAGAAGGTGGGTGGTAAGTACGGCCAAAGCAAGCTTGGCTCTGAGGTCTGTGAGGGGCCCTGGTCCATCTGGGACTTTGCTCATGATGCTTAGAACACTGTGATAAAGATGCCAAGGGCAGTGGCCTGATCCTCATTTGGGCCACTTAGTTCTGAGTCATGAGCTAGTCCTGGACAGACAGAAATGGATGGATCGGTATCACCTTGGACAAGTTCCTTATTCTATCAAAGCCTTAGTTTCCTCATCTGTGAAATGCAGATCATATTTCATCTCAGAGGATAGCGATGAAAATTAAATGGCATAATGCTCACAGAGTTGTACACGGCCCACTGAAAGAACTCAGTACATGTTTTAGTTATTATTATAACTTTTATTCTAGGGCCACAAACCTCATTCACTATTCTGTTCTTTAGCAAGTATATTCTGCTAGTCAACTGGGGATACCTGGACCCAGTACAACTCCACAGCCACCTGGCTTCTCTTTCTCCATTTGTTCTTTGATTCACTTGTGTTCATTCCGCAGGGATATTTTGAAGGTCTAGGAGGTGTCAGGCCTGTACCAGGCCTGCCTCTGCCTTACTTCAGCTCATTTGCAAGTGAGCTGTGAGTTACAGGAAGTCAATATCCAAACTATAAAACTTGATTCAAATGGACGATCCACCCTTTAGGATTGTACATTTTAGTAAGAATGGGTTTCCCTTTAAATATGAACATGCTTTCTCACCAGTAGAACATGCTCTTTGAGGGTTTATTTTCCACACAGGTTCATGTTCATGCACATGCTCCCATCCTTGCCTGGGCAGCAGGCTACAGCGGACTGAGAGGGATGAGCACAGAGGAGACCCTTGCACAGGGGCTTGTGGTGAGCAGAACAGAGTTCCACAAATAGATGCTATTCACTGTTGTGTGCTCACAAGAGTAACCTTTTTGATTTTCCCATCTCTGTTGCATACAGGAACTGAGAGGAGGAATGGGAAAGTTAAAATGACAAAGTGGAACAGGGAGAACAGGAGATTTCAGCCAAGGTAAGAATTGACAGACATCCCCACACTATACTCTCAGACTTAAAGTCAGTACCGGTGTATTTGTTTTTAAACTGGTGGTCAATGCCAATTTAAACACCTTTTTATTGTGAGTCATAGTTGTCTCTCTTTTGGAATCACAGATTAAGATCAAGAAGTTTATGTGTAATTAAATCCAATCACTTCATTTAGTTCCCTAACTGAAACTTAGGAAGGGTGTCAGAGTGCATGGTCTACTGTCCTTGAGTTGAAATAATTCAGAACAGATGAGAGAGAGGTTGCCACTGCCCTGCCACTGGCAGAACAATTGTTTCCACGAACTTGGCTCTAACCACCATTAACGAAAACGTCACCCGTACGTATTTCCTGATTGGGAACAAATATTTTCAGAATAGCTTAGTCAACTCCTTTCACATTCCGGATCATGGGCTGGTGAGACATTATTTGCTTCTAATTCTTGGCATAATTTTAAAAGATAGCTGAGTAGGACAATACTAGGACTGAATTAAAATTTAAAAGATAAGTCTGTAAAATCTGCCACCTTAAGCTTAGTCGTTTCATTTTTCAAAACCATGCTTACATGTTTAATCCCACACGATTACTTGTTCATGTTAAGAAACTAAACCAGTATCTTTCCCAGCCCCCCTCCCTCTCTATGACTGCTCCATCAGGAGCTCCAACAGCCAGACCTTCCTCCAGTTTCCTACTAACCATGAAGTCATCACCTCCCTTCTTTCCTTCAGCTACTAAGTCCTTCAAATTCTCCTCCTCCTCCTATCTTTCCTATTTCTCCCCATTTCTAAAGGGCCTATTCTGCTGCTGGCCAGACAGTAAAATTCTGGGAGTCTCCCAGAAATTTACTGTCCTACCCACTCCTACCCTTCTAAAGGCAGACAAGAGTGTTCTTCTCAAGCACATATCACTATCTTTTCAGAACTTTAGAATTCCTCATTGGCTCTTGATAAACACTGTAGAAAGACAGCTACACAGCGTCACACTCTTAGATTTCCAGGCCTCTCACCTTCAGAATCCTGGAATCTTGAAGTATACTGGATCACACATGATGCCTTCCAGCCAGAGAACCTCAGCTCACACCCTAGACCCTTTGAGAACTGAATACAGCCTGTAATCTCTTCTCCCTAAATTAGGCAAGTTTACCTTGTTTGGCAAGACTTCTACACACATCTGAGTCCAAACACCTTGCTTACATCTTTATTTTCTATCTTCTCAGACATTTTATACTTTTTGTAGAGCTACACACACATTAACACATATTGATGTCACTTACGGTATTAGCTGTGTGTAGCACATCTCCCAAGAGAATTATCCACATAGCATATACTCAAATATCATCTGATATGTTGTCTCTGGGGCTTGTGGGAAAGAACAGATTCTAAGGGGAGGACTGGGTGCTTAAGATTTACTCACATTTCAGAAAACCAGAAAATTCAGAAGATCTTAGTGATGGTACCACTACCCACTTACCTGCCCAACACAGAAACCTGGACTTCATCTTTGATTCTCCCTGATGATGCAATTAATCAAGTCATGGCCTTTCTTCTTTCAAATTTTTTCTTGAACCCATCCACGCTTCTCCATTTTCACTCCTACTAGCTCATACCAAGTCATCGTCTCTCATCTACAGCTTCCTGTGTCTTCTCGTAGCCAGATTTCCTTAGCCAAACCGCTCTTTGGAAAGAAGCTAGTATTTTTTTTTTTTTATAAATTTTTTTTTCAACGTTTATTTATTTTTGGGACAGAGAGAGACAGAGCATGAACAGGGGAGGGGCAGAGAGACAGGGAGACACAGAATCGGAAACAGGCTCCAGGCTCCGAGCCATCAGCCCAGAGCCTGACGCGGGGCTCGAACTCACGGACCGCGAGATCGTGACCTGGCTGAAGTCGGACGCTCAACCGACTGCGCCACCCAGGCGCCCCACAAAGCTAGTATTTTTATTAAAGTATAAACCTAATGGTTTCATATCTCTGTTTAAAAACCTCTCAGGAACTTCCCATTAACCTTGAGATGAAAAGAAACTTCCATGCCCAGGCCCACAAGGCCCACCTCTCTGGCCTCATGCCCCTCCTCCCTCCCCCTGCAGCAATGGCTCTCGACCCATAGGTACATCTAGATCACCTGGAGCGCTTGTCAAAACAGATTGTGGGGGTTCCTGGGTGGATCAGTCGGTTAAGCGTCCAACTTCGGCTCAGGTCATGATCTCGCAGTTTGTGGGTTTGAGCCCTACACTGGGCTCTCTGTGTGACAGTTCAAAGCCTGGAGCCTGCTTCGGATTCTGCATCTCCCTCTCTTTCTCTACCCCTCCCTGTCTCATGCTGTCTTTGTCTGTCTGTCAAAAATAAATACACATTAAAAAATTAGAAAAAAAAAAACCCTTGTATTACTTAGCAAGGTGAGGCCACAATAAAACATTATCAAATGGAATGAAAGATGTGGTTGGTTTGATTTTATTGTTTTTACATTCTCTATCAAGATTACATGTTTAGTTCCTTAAAGAAAAAAGTCAGTCAAGTATAAAATATGAATTCAGAATGCCACTATTTTATAAGACTATGAAAATTACACACAATTGCTCATACACGTGCCTCCTATTAATTAGAGGATACTACATAGAAGAGCTAGTCTAGCAAAACTTGCTATAATAGTCAAAATCCTCTGTAGTAAGGAGGAAATCCTGCTGAGGACAGTATTTTCCACAGGCAAGAATCACCGGCCTTCAGCCAAAAGCCATGCTGTTATCGATGGGCGGAGATACTACTCCATACACACTGTGTTGTTGTTTTTTTTAATGTTTTTATTTATTTTTGAGAGAGAGAGCGTGCACGCACAAGTAGGGGAGGGGCAGAGAAAGAGGGAGACACAGAATCAGAAACAGGCTCCAGGCTCTGAGCTGTCAGCACAGAGCCTAATGTGGGGCTCGAACTCATAAACCACGAGATCATGACCTAAGTCAGACGCTTAACCGACTGAGCCACCCAGGTGCGCCCACACTGTGTTTTTGGATATGTTATTCTTGTTTCCACATCAGTTAATCCTCAATTGTGTAGAAAGTGATCCTAAGAGATGATCAAGAAACTACTGCCACTTAGGTTTGAAAAGCAATTTGGGGGACACCAGATCGTTTTCACAATTACATTTTATACGGCATCATATAATTAGTCCACATTTCCTTTGTAGGCACAAACTCATACCTCTATGAGAAAGTCTGGATGCTCTTACCTACATTCTGTGCACCTGTCCTATGTTGGGTTGACCATGTCATCAGCTCAATCCTCCCTCTTTGGGCTACCGAGGAAAGCTATGTGCCATTTCTGCTAAAAACTCCAACCATCTAGCTTCAGGCACACATTTGATTCAGTTTCAGTCCCACACAACTGCCACTGGGAGCTCTTATAGCTTTCTCAGATCTCCACAGGCATGCACCTTTCCCACAGATGACCCTAAGTCCTGCATCAGGTAAGATGAAGTCTTAAAGAGTACTTCCAAATTGTGGTGTTTCCACCTCAAATTTCTCTGTATCTTCAGCCATATAATTCTCCATTCCATCTTGACTCGAGAGTAAGTGGTGAAATTAACAAAGGAGAATAAGAGAGAAAGAGAATCTTGGGGGGTGGGGGAGAAACAGAGAGGGAGCGCGCCATCCACAGAGAGCCAGAAAAAAGAAAAACCAAAGTCTCCTTAAAAGGTAAAAGAGTCTTTGTTAACACACAGAGGTTTATGAGACCTTGTGGAGACCTTGCAATGTGCTAGGCTGCCCTGGTAACTAAAGGAATATAGGTGACAAAACCAGGTCTCTAATTTGCTGCAGTGCATAGTCTAATGGGGGAGGGGGGGTGGAGGAAGATAGGGCTTGTTAATAACTAACTTTCATATGAAACTGGCAGTCGTGGAGGGGTGCCTAAAGAGCCAGGGCAGTACTATGTGGGAAATGTAGGGGGCAAGGCCATGAAGCTCAGGGATACGTATGCACAGAACAAAAGCCCAGTATCAGAAATCTAAAAAGGAGGAATATACGGGGCGCCTGGGTGGCTCAGTCGGTTCAGCGTCCAACTTCAGCTCAGGTCATGATCTCACAGTTCGTGAGTTGGAGCCCTGCGTCTGGCTCTGTGCTGACAGCTCAGAGCCTGGAGCCTGTGTCGAACTCTCTGTCTCCCTCTCTCTCTGCCCCTCCCCCACTTGTTCACGCACGCTTGTTCTCTCTCAGATAAACATTAAAAAACAAATTTAAAAAGACTTAAAAAATAAAATAAATAATAAACAATAAAAAGAAGGACTATAAATTAAATGGCTCCTAGGATGATAGGGGGAAGGAGCCTCCAGGTGGGTATTCTATGGGAAGGTAGAGAGAAAGGAAATGGAAGGCAAAAGATGGGGGCAACAAGGGGACAGAGGTAGGAGCAAATAAGCTACTTTCTCCTGGAATTAGAGACTGTGGTTTTCTGGATAATTGAAAGCTCATCCCTTCAAACACAAATTTATTTTGACTTTATTTTAAACTATTTTTAGTTTAGAAATCTTTCTAAAAGGCACCACATGGGTTCCTGCATTGTTTAGCAGAATACATCAAAGCAAAACATGCCAAACCTGATTTAATCTGTTCTGGATGAAGAATCATCATTATAATCCATTTTTCGTGCTTTGATGTGGTGCACTGACATTCTCAGGGCCCACTTATGTGTAAAAATCTGTTATTTTACTCTCTACCAACTAGAGCCTGCAACTGTGCTTCTGGAATTCTCCAGTTCTGCCCCCAGGAGGCAGCTGTCACTTCTCAGAGCTTCCCTTGGTGACTCCTCAATGGAGCTGAGAACACTGCTGTGGCCTCTGTCACTCAGTTGTCTGAGGTGAGGCTCTGAAGGGCAGACCCCCGGGGCCACAGCCCAGCCCCAGCCCCAGAGTATTTGGAAGAGGCCCCTCTGCTTCCTGCCAGGGCTCCAGCTTCATTCCACATGGGGGTTCTAGAATTCTGATACGTGCATAAGGGAAGTAATACTATAATAAAATTATCTCTAATAACATCGATTCTTCATGCCACATATTTAAGAAGCGGTGAAATACAGGTATCCCCAGTTTTTGAAAGTTCATACTATGCCACTTCACTTCTATGAAAGACCTACATTAGTACCTCTTTTCACTAACTGAAAGGAATCCAAAGACGATTTTCACCTTTATGAAAAAGGCAAACCGCGAAAACAGCATTCAGCAGTTGTTTTGCAGGAAGCCTTTACAGAAGCAGAAGGCACCCCAGCAGCGAGACCAGCACCCCCAAGCTCCTTCCCTGGAACTACATACACTCAGCAGCTCAGCATCAGGCCGCCACAGCTTTGAACCGTGAGCATCTGTGCTTTAATCTCTATTTATTTTGTGCATCTGTTAGCAAGATGTGTCATAAGGTATCAAAAAAGCCTAAGAGAGGTTACTTTTTAGGGTTTGGGAACACTCAAACTTTTTTCACATAACTTAATGGTAATTAATTAATTGCTTCTTCGCTGTATGCCATTTCAGCTTATGAAAAGTTTCATAGGAATGCTCTACTTTGGGACAGCGGGAGAAACCTATAAATCCTGTCCCTCACAGCCTTTTGTTTTCCAAAGCAGACTTCCAAGTACATGTTCCATACCAATCCCACTCCCACATGGTCCTGAACTCTTGATAAGCTTGATATTTGATGCAGAAGCTACAGAAACAATATTTCTTTTTCATTCATTCAATAAATGCTACATGCCAAGTTTTCTAATAGGAAACCATTGAGGTATAAAAAGATGAATAGAACAGCCCTGACCTCCAAGAACTTAGAACTTGTAGTTCAAAGAACCTGGGTACAAGATAATTCTAACCAAGGGTGGAAACGTGTTGAGGCCCCAGGACAGCAGTTCCACAGGCTGCACCGTGGAGGGCTGCTTCTACAGCCAAACTGGAGGGAGGAGAAAGGGAGGCCAGGGGAAGACTTCACCGGGAAATGGGAGGGCTTCAAAGAAAGGAGGGGGATCTGGTCACAATGCAGGGTGAGCACAGGCAGAGCAAATGTTATGAAAAAAGGCACAGAAGGCAGAAGGTAAAAAAGCCTAGTGTATTTATATAGTAGTCAAAGGAACAGAGAGAGAAAATGCTGCAAAGGTAGGTGAGAATCACATCACAGAGGGCCCAAAACGCCAGGCCAAAAAGCTAAGCCTTGAAGCTGTAAGCTGAAAGGAGCCAAGAAGATTTTTAAAAGCTCTCTGCACCTAACACACAGACTTAATCTTGTTAAAAAGATGAAGCCTATTTCTCCCCTTTAATGGAAAAGGAATTCAAAAAGTGAATTATTAATCATCTCACCCCTGTTAATTATTTCTTAAAACCAAGCTTGCTAATAAAACAGTTCTGTGGAATTAAGTACAGTGCTTCTGTCTGTCTTGATCTCACACTATAGGAAATACATACAGGTGGAAAAGGAGTCGTCTAGTCTAAAACAAAGGGCAGCACAGATATACAAATCAAATTCACTCTTTTGACAAAAAAGAACAGAGAGGGTAACATCTATTCCAGTTCACAAGCTTATACAAAATATTTTAGGGGAAAAAAACTTAATTTTCCACTTTATTTATTTAAGTGAAATTTTATTTTAGTGAATAAAAATAAACGAATTTTATTTCTTTTTATTTAAGTGAAATTTTCTAGAATCTTAAAAACAGCCACCTTCCCAACTCAAAAGAGGATGCTATTTTTCTGCCTAGCTCTGATATGACTTTCTTTGTCCTCATCCAAATAAATAGACATGCCCTTGAGACTTACCTACAAGATAGATAATTTCAGCATTATATTCCATATGACTCTGTGTTGCCTCTGTTTTCCATGTTCATCTTATCTCCCCAGTCAGATTAGTTGTTATCTGGGATGGGAAAGGACCATGCCATATACTCATTCTGCATCCTGAATATGATCAAACACTGTGCAATATAAGGTACTCATAAATATATGGGAACTGATTAACCAAATTAATTTCTAAAATATATATCCTTAAAGGCTCAATTCCGTATTATTCATATTGGTTCATATGTGGAATACAAGAAAAAAATTAAAAATTCAAAGCTAGAAGAGCTCTTCAACAGAAGGATCTAAACCAGTTCTTAATAAGTATCAACATTAGTTATTAGAGAGATGCAAATCAAAACCACACTGAGATAACACCACACACCCACTAAAATGGTTATAATAAAAAATGCAGACAATAACAAGTGTCGGTGAGGATGCAGAGAAACTGGAACCCTCATACATTGCTAATAGGAATACAAGATGAATAGCCACTTGGGAAAACAGCTTTGCAATTCCTCACAAGGTTAAACATAGAGTTACCATATGAACCACCGATTCTTCTCCTAGGTATATGTCCAACTGAATTAAAAACATGATTACACAAATGTTCACAGCAGCATTATTCATAATAGGACAAAAGTGGAAACAACCCAAATGTCCATCAACGGATGAATGAATGAACAAAATGTGGCATATTCAGACAATGGAATATTATTCAGCCATAAAAGGAAATGAAGTATTGATACATAGTATGACATACATGGACTTTGAAAACATTAAGTGAAAGAAGCTAGGCATAAAAGGCAACATATTGTGAGATTCCATTTATATGAAATGTCCATAATAAGAAAATCCACAGGGGCGCCTGGGTGGCGCAGTCGGTTAAGCGTCCGACTTCAGCCAGGTCACGATCTCGCGCTCCGGGAGTTCGAGCCCCGCGTCGGGCTCTGGGCTGATGGCTCAGAGCCTGGAGCCTGTTTCCGATTCTGTGTCTCCCTCTCTCTCTGCCCCTCCCCCGTTCATGCTCTGTCTCTCTCTGTCCCAAAAATAAAATAAATGTTGAAAAAAAAAATTAAAAAAAAAAAAAAAAAAGAAAATCCACAGAGACAGAAAGGAGATTAGCAGCTGAAGGAAGGAATGGAGTGACTGCTAATGGTCATGGGTTTCTTTCTGGGGTGAGGAAAGGTTCTGGAATTAGACAGTGGTGATAACATAGGAAATATACTAAAACCCACTGAAACGTAGACTTGAAAAGGGTGAATTTTATGGTATGTGAATTATATCTCAATTAAAAACAACAATAACAGCCTGATGAGAAACCTGAAGCTCAGAGAAGCTAAGTTTCTTGTCTAAAAACACAAAGCTGATTAAATGGCATCACTGGGGGGGGGGGGGAGGGGGGGTAA